AGATAGTTGCGAAATGTCTAACACTATGACAGTGCTGTAATGACAAAGTACATATAATGACAGTGAGGTATCAAGAAAGGACACGTGATATAAATCTATATTTTCATGGTATAATCAGGTAAAAGTTTGATAATAAAACTGCTATTTTCTTCATTCAACTCTTCCAGATAGCTACAATGAAAAAATCTAACCCAGTTCATGATACAGAAAGGATGTCATGGAGATTTCAGAGGATCAAGTCCAATGAATATTTTGGTCATTGTCGAAAAAACTAGTTAACAGGTAGCCCCGAACGAAGGATAATCATGAATATTCAATCACACTCAATAAAGTGTGCAAAACTATTATGTATAGACAATAGTTGTTATGTGGTTTAGTCAGTTGATCCTTTCTCATTGGCAAAGGAGGATCAGAATAAGCCTATAAAGAATAGAATGTCGGTAACAAAAATAAATATTAGAGACTGAAATTCCAAAACTTAAGTAAGGTGAAAAGATTAAAAATGTCCTTAACAGTGGACTAAATCTGAAACAGAAAGGATGATGTGCATAAAACACAATTCACATAACAACTATAATAAACTAAACATATTGTTTGCAACTTGTGTTGATTTGAGAAACAAAATCTCTTTGTCAATAATTTTATGCAATGATGTATATCAATGAAAGGAACTCAAGGTACATGAGTTCAACTGGATTTCAAGACGAAATAACAGCTAAAATGAATCTTGTTTGAAGTCTAAAAGACACTTCTACTCTTGGAAATTTAATCTTTTTATTTATTTATTTATTTATTTATTTATTTATTTATCAAGCTTCAATGTAGATTAGAAAAGCAATGATGGGTGCTTCTATTATGAATTTCAACTGCATACGAAAGGTGAAAAATCTGGAAACTACTATAAAGAAAAAGAAGAAAAATTATCTTTACAAACCTGAGCAGACGATATTGCATATGCTTTAAGGTTGCAGTCAATGTAATAACAGCTTACTTGCAAATCATCCCCCTGTCCAAACCAAAACATATAAATAATAATCACAATTATTATAATAATAAAATGTAGAAAAAAGTCAACTCAGTTTCATCCCAAAAAGTGACGTCAATTTCACAGTCAAATTTAGTAACTTTTTATCTGGCAATTTCATTTAAATAACTTTCCCCAGTTACTGAAGTTAAAAAAGTTTCTTTCTTTCAAATCTAACTCCAGTAACTTACTTATTTTGAACACAGATAGAAGCATTGTTTATTTGAGAACTTACTTTTTTACTTTTAAGTTGATTTACTTAAAAGTGGAGCTTTTAAGATTAGCCAAACCAGTGCCTTTAGTGGTACCTGAATGTGATCGAGGACTGATCGAGCTGAGTTGAGAGAGATTCCACGTTCAGCAGAAGGGCCACCGCATATGAGCCCGACTCTCAAAACCATACCTTTTTCTCCGACGTTGGTTCGATCATCCACCACCTTTGGCTCAATTATTCCAGTGGATGATGCTTTCACAACTCCAACTCCACGACACCTAAGTTCGTTCGAAAAAACTCTCCTTGTAAAGCTTTCGAGGAAGCTCACAGAAATATGTCGAGAAAAAGACAACGGAATTTTCTCCGGCACGGAGTGTGTTATCCGATTGTAATAAATTTTGGAATTCAACGCGACTGAAGAAGAAAAAGCCATTGAATTGAAGAAGTGTTAGTGCGTGTTTTTGTGTGAAAGTGTTTGTTTATGGAGAGAGTGATTGGAGAGTTATAAAGAAGACGAACATGGAGGTTGGGACGGCAGGCGCTGGGGTGGGCGTGGGGCTGCGTCTTTGTTTGTGTCCCATTTGGTGCTTGTATTTTTTTTTTTTTTTTTTTTTTTTTTTGATTTGTATAATGATTGAATGTTATGCATAAGCACTTATTCTGGACTACTTATAATAATATTTTTGAACAAAAATATTTAGGCCCTGTTTCCCAACTATTAAAATAAAAATTATTTTATCTTAAACTTATTTTTAAATACACATTTTTACAGGAAAATATTGTGCATATAAACTAAAAAAAAATTCTATTTATTAACCTCATATTTTTCAAAAAATTATTATTATAAAACTTTTTTTTTCCTCAAAAAAAATCTTTTAATGAATGTCAAACAGCAGCTTAACTGCAATTTTCCCAAAAAAAAATAAAAATAAAAATTAATTAATTAATAAAATAATAAAATTCAGAAAATGAGTAAAATGAGTTTGGAAACAAGTGCAAGGAGAAGCAACAAATATATAAGTTTATAAAATTAAGGTTATTGGAATCTTTTTTCTTTCTCCTTTTTTTTTTTTCTTTTTAATGGGACAAGGGTAGTGACGAATATAGCACCATTTCAAATTATATAATAGAAGAGCATAAGAAGGCCAAAACTTCCGGGCATTATTTAATACCAAAATTTAAAAAATAAATAAAAGTATGAAAGCCTTAATTTTATTTAATTTGATAATTAATTAATCATTGCGTGTGTTTGGCCCCCATTTTTTCTCATTTTTTTTTTCCAATTCTTTCCAATTTTTGTCAACCATTGTGAGCCCCATCATGAATAATAAGCCAAATTCCCTGACAATAATTAAAGCCACCTACGTTTTTTACAGTTGTTTGAATTTCGAATTTTTTTCTTTCTGTTATTGCTCTTTAGTTGAAATTTCATTCTTTCCACTTCCCGCCATTCAATTGGAATTTTATTATTTCACTAGAGGCAAATTGGTCAGACAATCTCAAGGGCCTGATGTTGTCTGCAGACATTTTTGACGGTTTCGTCAGTGTTAATGCTGTCTTCTGCAAAGTTCCTGTAGAAAAATGAGTTTCGATAGAAAAAATTGGCAAGAATTGGCATCAAACGGGCGCACATTACATGCAACATAATATAATAATTATTAATAGAAAGAAGTTCATTATTCAAATGAAAATCTTCAAGTACTATACATATCTTATGAAGTTTATGAATGCCTTCAAAGCTAACGAGGTAGAAGGAAAAAATAAAAAAACACAGAACTCTATAAGTTCCAAAATAATAACGATAATAATAACAATGATTATGATATTAATAAGTTCCTTGATATGTTATTTTGTATTTAAAAAGGAAAAAGTGCCGAATATCAACACTTCTATCACGTCAGATCATCCTCTTCAAGTTCTTTAGCTTTCAGCGTTTCCTTTACTCGCAAGAGAAGAGTCGTCCTCCAAGCATCCTAGAAGACACTAGGAAATGAGCATTGTGCCATTCAACAATAGAAGACATCAAGTACAAGTTCACAGTTGAGTTAATTTTACAAAATAGTAACAATAAAAAGTTCCGTTTTATACATCTTAAAATCTTCACCCCAGTTTCTTAGTTTTTTGTTCTTCATCTTCCTCTTTTACTCTGTGTGTCATGTAGGATATTGCAACCACTTTACCTAAGAACTATAGCCCATGACACTAATGCAATTTACACAGAATCCACCCTAAGCCCACTTCTACGGACCACATTTGAAGCATACTCTTACTTTGATTTGGAGGTTAATTTAAGATTCAAGATCCCATTTTTGTGATGCCTCGTCCTTCAATGTGCAATAGATTTCATTGATTTGGTTGATCTTCCAAAGAAAAAAATATTTGTGGTTGAAATGTTTATCTAAAAGATGCATAATATTTGAAATAAAAAATAGGAAGTACTCGAAAAAATAAAGATTAAATCGAAAAATAATTTACCAGCCGGCTTATAGAATCGAACTCCTTCACAGCAGCTGTGAATTTTGCAACATCTTCCTCGTCAACTGCAGCAGCCAAATCCTAACAAATAGAGGTTTCGAAATTTATTACATCAAAGATAAAGCCTCCATTTAGGAAAGAATTTGTAAACTGTTTAATTTATAAGTAGATAGGAATGAGCGGTAGGTAAGTTGATAATACTTGCGAGTCCATTGAAAATGAGTGGTTAGTTTGACCATTTATAAGTTAGTCAAACGGAGACTAAATATATAAAGCACAGGATCGTGTAAAATATATGCATTAAAACATCAAATGAACACTCACAGCTAAGAGTTTGTACTCCCGTGTCCTTGAGAACGTAGGATCCATGTCCTATACAAGCAATAGAAATTTGTTAACTCCCAATAGCACTATAGAAGAAAAATTAACAACGGCGATAATATAAGGATGTTTGACCTGATATTTTTCCAATGCATTGGTTATTGCAACAACGTCTCCTTTACATAGTTGGCAAATTCCAGCATTAAGAAGATGGCCTCTAGCTCCATACTTCAATAAATTATTATTTAGAGAGTGCCGTGCTATTTCTTCATATATTTCGATTGCCTTAGGATATCTGAAAATCAAAAAGAATTTGCTTATTGCACATAGATAGGTACATGTTTGGCAAAGCTTAAACTATGATTTAAGTTGATCAAACCTACTTTTTATCCACATCCACAACTTATAATCACTTAAAATCAAGTATGCTCATGAATTCAAATCACCTAGAGTTCGGCAGGCACAACGATTACCAAAAGCCACATCCTAGTCAATCTGTTTTCATATTTTGTTCTATTTAATGCATGGAACTTCTCAATGAACATACAATTTATCTTTCCAATTTTGATCAATCCAACAGAAGAATTGTAGCAAGCTCAAATTCAAAGTATTGGGGAAACAAACCACAAATGAAAATACAAAAAATGACATAGAGAATCAGTTGAGATCACTTACTTCCCTGACTGAGCAGAAAATTGTGCAACTTTCAGCCTGCACTGATTTGCAGATGTTGTCACTTCCTCAGTCTGAAAAAGGTCTGCAGAGCGCTCGAAATACACAACTGCTTGGTCAAAGTTCTCTTGCTGCTCGTACAATTCGCCAATGTCCTAGATAAGCATTAAACTCAAGTCAGGTGCCGGTTTAAAGGTTCATAAACTTTCCATGAAAAGCTTACATGCAAATCATTCTCAAGAATTGCACAAGGACATTGACAAGCGGGATAAATAAATGACTTAACAAACCTTATGTTCAATATATATTATGCTTTTCTTTCAATGTTTAAGGTAATTTTAACTACTAGAAATTTGCCTTTCTTAATACTGCTTCTTGTATTGTTCATAATTTTATCTACTCGTTTCTTATGTAAGACTAGATGTAAGTAACTTCTAGAAATTTGTCTTTCTTAATAATGCTTCTAGCATTGTTCACAATTTTATCTACTCGTTTCTTATGTAAAAGAAGCTCCTTCGCGAATATTTCTAATTACATCTTCTGGGAATCGAGGTGGAGTGTGGTAAGCAACCTGCAAAGTTTTCATGGTTACTTAAACTGATGTTAATGTAATAGACTTGTTAAGTCTACTGACAGGTTCAAATGTAATCACCACAGATAAGCATTCGGGTATTCAGGTCTCCACCAGTTCAGGGTACTGGAATGGATCAGCCTTTTATTGTTTAAAAGCAAAGTGGAACATACCCTAGGTAATAGATACATAAAAGAAAATGCAATTGCTAATTCAAGTCCTCTACAATATTCAGACTTTCTGGTAATGTTTGTCCCTGAAATAGAACTCAGTGCAACAAATAGGAATTCTTTACAAAAAAGAAACCCTAAAATATCTATGCTGTTCTTCAGTGGTATTACAGTTAAGACATAGTTTAAACACATATGAGAGATGCATCCCTTGGATACATTAAAATCCAATCCAAAAATTATGATAACACAAAATGTATGCAGATGGGACAAACAAAAAACGTCTATAATATAATTTCATATATTTATTATACCTGCTGGGTTGGGAGATATTTCCGCCTATAATTGAATATAGCATCCTTTTCACTTAGATCGACACTTCCATGAGACTGAAGTTCCACCTAGTCGAGACAACAAAATCCGTGGTGATTGAACCAGAAGAGGCCAGTATATGCAGCTAAAATGTGCGAGATAAAATTACAAATCCATTTGACCTCAAAACAGATATTCAATTGAAGTTATACCTTCAAAGCATATGTACACAACGCTTTTGAAACTTGGTTTTAGCCCAATTTGACACTGTCTTGAGATAATATAGTGAATCGTATATAATTAAGAAAACAATACCTAACCTCTCGTTCCACAAGGATACATTTTAGCATTTTAGCGTAAACTTGCCAGATTAATGACCTATATCAACAGCTGACTTTTCAAGATTAGTGATTTAATTGTACCACTATGGACAAACCATCTTTTACCCATCTTTACTTTTTTTTTTTTTTTTTATTACCCCGCTTTCAATCTAAAACTAAGTAGTATCACACATCACATCAGCATGCCTTGTAATTGACTCATTAAAAGACCGATTTTAGAGAACAAAAATAACCTTTAGTACACAAATGAAATTAATGTATACAGTTACACTGATAGAATTGGAGACACCTTGTAATTATATTAAACACTGAAGAAATTGATGAGACAAAAAGTGGAGCTAAGATACCCTCTATAGACACCAAGAAATATTTGGCTTTCGGTGCTATTTTTTTTTTTTTCGTTGGGATGGTGGTGATGGTTAATCGTTAAACTAATATTATCAATGTTATACAACAGCTATGAGGATCTCACGGATTTGAAGTTTATTGTAAAATAATAGAAAAAATAACTGAAACTGACTGTAAGACAGGTGATATATTGCAAAGAAGAAGAAGAAGAAGAAGAAGAAGAAGAAGAAGAAGAAGAAGAAGAAGAAGAAGAAGAAGAAGAAGAAGAAGAAGAAGAAGAAGAAGAAGAAGAAGAAGAAGAAGAAGAAGAAGAAGAAGAAGAAGAAGAAGAAGAAGAAGAAGAAGAAGAAGAAGAAGAAGAAGAAGAAGAAGAAGAAGAAGCTATGATTATAACCTTGATTATGCATAAAAGAAATGCACAATTGACTGATTGAGGCACAAGGAAAGAACTAGATAAGGAGTTGTATACAACCTGTATATTATTTATAAACGAAAACAATAATATGAAGAAATCATATCATCGTTATGTACCACATATCTGTAATTCAGTCTAAGAGAACATACAAGTTCTATTATCCATTTCCAGCAATTACACATTATCTCATAAGGGATGGCACCAGTTATAATTGACTTTCAGCACTCATCTAATATATGAAGTTGTGAGGCAGTTAGCCGACGGAAAACACATCTTAACACAACTGTCAGTTCAGAAAGTAGCCTCAATAATTCACATCAAAGCAAAGAGATGGAAGTGTATACCTCTGTTGGCAAAAGAGCAACAGGTTGGCAATCAGAACCAGATCCCACGTCAAGAACTATGGCTGTAAATTCACTCCCTCCTTCGAGAAAAATTTCAATGAGGACTTTATCATCAATTCCCTGCCAAAACCATGAATAGCATTTGTTGATGGGATAGATCTACCAAACCGAGCAATTTCAATTTAGGATTAACAAGATAATTCTGTACATTGTTAACCAGAAGAAACCTTTAGCCAAGGTTTCCACCAGCAAGCATTCAGTTATCAATTTCAAATTTTTATCACTTATCATCCATATTATATTAATTATCAATAATTGTGGTTTCTTAAAATTTGCGGCATAGAACAGATTTATTTATACAATTAAGAAAATGAGTTCCCTGCCCAACTGAAAAGTTTATGGAAAGAAATTACCTCTGAAATAAGTTCTTTAGCCTTTCTAAGAGAATCAGTAACACCATAAGCAACTGAAACTCCAATACTTGATCCTGCTCTTGTAGGCTTTACCTGCCATTTTTTTTTATGAAGCCTAAACTGTCAAACAAGCTTAGAGTGATATCATGTTCATCAGTGATTCTGACCTCTTCAAGGTGAGAAATAAGTCTTACCACAACTTTTCCTAGCTCAGTGTCCAGATGATTTCTAGTAAACCACATTGCTAGCTCAGTTTCATCCAATTCACTTCCCTGAAAGTCATTTTCTAAATGTCAACAGTGCAATAAAATTGAAGAACAGAAAAGCACTTTTCCAAATTGATATTTTTGAGTTCAAGGATGTTAAACCACTGCATCTAAAAGCTTAAGCTTTGAGATGGTTCAACGTATTAGCTCAGGCAAAGGTTTTATTTCAAGTCTTGCCACCAACCATTAATTTGTGCACCTGTGACGTGTCAAGACTTTGATGAAAAAGGAATCCAGCTTGCACATGACAAGGTGTGTTGAAGACTAAATTCAAATAAATAAATTTGCCATACATGTAACAATTTTAGCTTTTGGATAATGAGGTTCAAGAAAGGAAGATATAAGAGGCTGGGGTTTTGACATAATTGTAACAAGAAAACATAAAAATCGTTTGGGATTTTGATCCAGCTAAAGCAAAAACATTCACGCATTTATATAATATACTAAAGAAATTGAACTTTAGATCTCCAACACTTCTCAATTTGAAATGTAAAGCAATGAACAAGAGCAAATCATTCCAGTATTAAAACTGAAACAATCAAATAATATGAATTCACGTCATACACTACAGCAGAAAGAAGACAATAAATGTAAAGCAAACACAGTAAGTCATGCAAAAGAAACTAACACAAGAAGTAACATCTTATGAGGATGTAAGCATCTAAGGACTAAGGAGAGAAATATAAGTCGCAATGATATTTTTGAATTTCTGGAAAGCTAGCAGTATAAATGGGCAACAGAATTCTGCCTGATAAATGTGTCACGAAGAATATAGAATAATAGAAGAAACAGCTAACACAAAAAACCAAAACACATTAGAATGTTTAACATTGACCACGACGAATATAGAGGGAGAGACATGGGAAATAACATATGATTTGTATGACAATGTCAGAGCATGCATTTTATGCAAGGATGGAACCCATTAAAATGAAATAATGTTTTAAAAGCACACAGCATGATAAGCAGAAATGAATAAGAACACCTGCACTGGGAAACTGGGTACAGTCACAAATCCTAGCTTGTCAAGTTCCAAAGAGGCATCATACTGCAAATATCAAAGTAAAGCAGATGTCAGCATCAGATGCTCAATGAGAGGATAATATCACATGCATACCACAGATACACCCGACTATTTTATGGAGATAATTCGTCTACAGATTTGGGATCCACTCATCCACACTTCCATGATTCTAATTAGTTATCATGCTGTATTTAATCACATAATTCTACACTTCATCAAATGACACTATATTTCGATATATTTTTCTCCGTGATGCTGATTAAGTTGTCTAACAACACAATTCATGTTAACTATCAAGAAGTTATAGCTCACTATGTATCGGCAATTGAAAAAATTGAATTGACAGCCATTATCAAAAGAAAGAGCTCAGTCAGCAAGCATACTGCATCTTTAGTCAACCAATTTTATGAATCTGGCTTTCCTAATATTCTTATTAACATTACGTCCAAACTCAAACAAATTAGATAGAGTGATACAAAAATAAAAAAAATTACTTTATCAAAAGCTTTGCGGCATTCACTTGACTGGGTCCCAACAAATGGAATGTTTGCCTTTTCCAATATTTCCTGAAGATATCATCATGAAAAAAGCTAATATAAATTTACTATTATCTCCCAAGCTAAAATAATTACCAGAATGTTAAGAATTCCAAGCATTTCATATTAGTCTCACTTGAATGCCACCATCTTCACCGAAACGGCCATGTATAACGGGAAAAACTATGTCCACAGAGGTGGACAGGTGTTCAACAAAGTCAGATAGTGACTGAAAACCTTGGGCAAGGCTGCAAATGTAATAATTTAAATTGGTAGAAATAATTACTCACAGACAATGGATAAAATGTCAATACATAAAAGCTTACGTTTCAAGTTTGAAATCAAAGTCTGCAGGAGTGTTCGAGTAGACCTATGAGAAGATTAACAAGGAAACTCATATAAGAGCTCATAAAAAGTATATTATCAAATTAAAGGCACAGGCAACCAGTACCATTTTGCCTAATATCTAGATTCTAAGTAGTAACAACAGAGGCTCCAACTTAATGAGATAGTTGCGAAATGTCTAACACTATGACAGTGCTGTAATGACAAAGTACATATAATGACAGTGAGGTATCAAGAAAGGACATGTGATATAAATCTATATTTTCATGGTATAATCAGGTTAAAGTTTGATAATAAAACTGCTATTTTCTTCATTCAACTCTTCCAGATAGCTACAATGAAAAAATCTAACCCAGTTCATGATACAGAAAGGATGTCATGGAGATTTCAGAGGATCAAGTCCAATGAATATTTTCGTCATTGTCGAAAAAACTAGTTAACAGGTAGCCCCGAACGAAGGATAATCATGAATATTCAATCACACTCAATAAAGTGTGCAAAACTATTATGTATAGACAATAGTTGTTATGTGGTTTAGTCAGTTGATCCTTTCTCATTGGCAAAGGAGGATCAGAATAAGCCTATAAAGAATAGAATGTCGGTAACAAAAATAAATATTAGAGACTGAAATTCCAAAACTTAAGAGTAAGGTGAAAAGATTAAAAATGTCCTTAACAGTGGACTAAATCTGAAACAGAAAGGATGATGTGCATAAAACACAATTCACATAACAACTATAATAAACTAAACATATTGTTTGCAACTTGTGTTGATTTGAGAAACAAAATCTCTTTGTCAATAATTTTATGCAATGATGTATATCAATGAAAGGAACTCAAGGTACATGAGTTCAACTGGATTTCAAGACGAAATAACAGCTAAAATGAATCTTGTTTGAAGTCTAAAACACTTCTACTCTTGGAAATTTAATCTTTTTATTTATTTATTTATTTATTTATTTATTTATCAAGCTTCAATGTAGATTAGAAAAGCAATGATGGGTGCTTCTATTATGAATTTCAACTGCATACGAAAGGTGAAAAATCTGGAAACTACTATAAAGAAAAAGAAGAAAAATTATCTTTACAAACCTGAGCAGACGATATTGCATATGCTTTAAGGTTGCAGTCAAAGTAATAACAGCTTACTTGCAAATCATCCCCCTGTCCAAACCAAAACATATAAATAACAATCACAATTATTATAATAATAAAATGTAGAAAAAAGTCAACTCAGTTTCATCCCAAAAAGTCACGTCAATTTCACAGTCAAATTAAGTAACTTTTTATCTGGCAATTTCATTTAAATAACTTTCCCCAGTTACTGAAGTTAAAAAAGTTTCTTTCTTTCAAATCTAACTCCAGTAACTTACTTATTTTGAACACAGATAGAAGCACTGTTTATTTGAGAACTTACTTTTTTTACTTTTAAGTTGATTTACTTAAAAGTGGAGCTTTTAAGATTAGCCAAACCAGTGCCTTTAGTGGTACCTGAATGTGATCGAGGACTGATCGAGCTGAGTTGAGAGAGATTCCACGTTCAGCAGAAGGGCCACCGCATATGAGCCCGACTCTCAAAACCATACCTTTTTCTCCGACGTTGGTTCGATCATCCACCACCTTTGGCTCAATTATTCCAGTGGATGATGCTTTCACAACTCCAACTCCACGACACCTAAGTTCGTTCGAAAAAACTCTCCTTGTAAAGCTTTCGAGGAAGCTCACAGAAATATGTCGAGAAAAAGACAACGGAATTTTGTCCGGCACCGAGTGTGTTATCCGATTGTAATAAATTTTGGAATTCAACGCGACTGAAGAAGAAGAAGCCATTGCATTGAAGAAGTGTTAGTGCGTGTTTTTGTGTGAAACTGTGTGTTTATGGAGAGAGTGATTGGAGAGTTATAAAGAAGACGAAAATGGAGGTTGGGACGGCAGGCGCTGGCGTGGGAGTGGGGGTGCGTCTTTGTTTGTGTCCATTGGTGCTTGTATTTTTTTTGTTTTGATTAGTCGAATGTTATGCATAAGCATTTATTCTGGACTACTTATAATAATATTTTTGAACAAAAATATTTAGGCCCTGTTTCCCAACTATTAAAATAAAAATTATTTTTTCTTAAACTTATTTTTAAATACACATTTTTACAGGAAAATATTGTGCATATAAACTAAAAAAAAATTCTATTTATTAACCTCATATTTTTCAAAAAATTATTATTATAAAACTTTTTTTTTCCTCAAAAAAAATCTTTTAATGAATGTCAAACAGCAGCTTAACTGCAATTTTCCCAAAAAAAAATAAAAATAAAAATTAATTAATTAATAAAATAATAAAATTCAGAAAATGAGTAAAATGAGTTTGGAAACAAGTGCAAGGAGAAGCAACAAATATATAAGTTTATAAAATTAAGGTTATTGGAATCTTTTTTCTTTCTCCTTTTTTTTTTTTCTTTTTAATGGGACAAGGGTAGTGACGAATATAGCACCATTTCAAATTATATAATAGAAGAGCATAAGAAGGCCAAAACTTCCGGGCATTATTTAATACCAAAATTTAAAAAATAAATAAAAGTATGAAAGCCTTAATTTTATTTAATTTGATAATTAATTAATCATTGCGTGTGTTTGGCCCCCATTTTTTCTCATTTTTTTTTTCCAATTCTTTCCAATTTTTGTCAACCATTGTGAGCCCCATCATGAATAATAAGCCAAATTCCCTGACAATAATTAAAGCCACCTACGTTTTTTACAGTTGTTTGAATTTCGAATTTTTTTCTTTCTGTTATTGCCCTTTAGTTGAAATTTCATTCTTTCCATTTCCCGCCATTCAATTGGAATTTTATTATTTCACTAGAGGCAAATTGGTCAGACAATCTCAAGGGCCTGATGTTGTCTGCAGACATTTTTGACGGTTTCGTCAGTGTTAATGTTGTCTTCTGCAAAGTTCCTGTAGAAAAATGAGTTTCGGTAGAAAAAATTGGCAAGAATTGACATCAAACGGGCGCACATTACATGCAACAAAATATAATAATTATTAATAGAAAGAAGTTCATTATTCAAATGAAAATCTTCAAGTACTATACATATCTTATGAAGTTTATGAATGCCTTCAAAGCTAACGAGGTAGAAGGAAAAAATAAAAAAACACAGAACTCTATAAGTTCCAAAATAATAACGATAATAATAACAATGATTATGATATTAATAAGTTCCTTGATATGTTATTTTGTATTTAAAAAGGAAAAAGTGCCGAATATCAACACTTCTATCACGTCAGATCATCCTCTTCAAGTTCTTTAGCTTTCAGCGTTTCCTTTACTCGCAAGAGAAGAGTCGTCCTCCAAGCATCCTAGAAGACACTAGGAAATGAGCATTGTGCCATTCAACAATAGAAGACATCAAGTACAAGTTCACAGTTGAGTTAATTTTACAAAATAGTAACAATAAAAAGTTCCGTTTTATACATCTTAAAATCTTCACCCCAGTTTCTTTGTATTTTGTTCTTCATCTTCCTCTTTTACTCTGTGTGTCATGTAGGATATTGCAACCACTTTACCTAAGAACTATAGCCCATGACACTAATGCAATTTACACAGAATCCACCCTAAGCCCACTTCTACGGACCACATTTGAAGCATACTCTTACTTTGATTTGGAGGTTAATTTAAGATTCAAGATCCCATTTTTGTGATGCCTCGTCCTTCAATGTGCAATAGATTTCATTGATTTGGTTGATCTTCCAAAGAAAAAAATATTTGTGGTTGAAATGTTTATCTAAAAGATGCATAATATTTGAAATAAAAAATAGGAAGTACTCGAAAAAATAAAGATTAAATCGAAAAATAATTTACCAGCCGGCTTATAGAATCGAACTCCTTCACAGCAGCTGTGAATTTTGCAACATCTTCCTCGTCAACTGCAGCAGCCAAATCCTAACAAATAGAGGTTTCGAAATTTATTACATCAAAGATAAAGCCTCCATTTAGGAAAGAATTTGTAAACTGTTTAATTTATAAGTAGATAGGAATGAGCGGTAGGTAAGTTGATAATACTTGCGAGTCCATTGAAAATGAGTGGTTAGTTTGACCATTTATAAGTTAGTCAAACGGAGACTAAATATATAAAGCACAGGATCGTGTAAAATATATGCATTAAAACATCAAATGAACACTCACAGCTAAGAGTTTGTACTCCCGTGTCCTTGAGAACGTAGGATCCATGTCCTATACAAGCAATAGAAATTTGTTAACTCCCAATAGCACTATAGAAGAAAAATTAACAACGGCGATAATATAAGGATGTTTGACCTGATATTTTTCCAATGCATTGGTTATTGCAACAACGTCTCCTTTACATAGTTGGCAAATTCCAGCATTAAGAAGATGGCCTCTAGCTCCATACTTCAATAAATTATTATTTAGAGAGTGCCGTGCTATTTCTTCATATATTTCGATTGCCTTAGGATATCTGAAAATCAAAAAGAATTTGCTTATTGCACATAGATAGGTACATGTTTGGCAAAGCTTAAACTATGATTTAAGTTGATCAAACCTACTTTTTATCCACATCCACAACTTATAATCACTTAAAATCAAGTATGCTCATGAATTCAAATCACCTAGAGTTCGGCAGGCACAACGATTACCAAAAGCCACATCCTAGTCAATCTGTTTTCATATTTTGTTCTATTTAATGCATGGAACTTCTCAATGAACATACAATTTATCTTTCCAATTTTGATCAATCCAACAGAAGAATTGTAGCAAGCTCAAATTCAAAGTATTGGGGAAACAAACCACAAATGAAAATACAAAAAATGACATAGAGAATCAGTTGAGATCACTTACTTCCCTGACTGAGCAGAAAATTGTGCAACTTTCAGCCTGCACTGATTTGCAGATGTTGTCACTTCCTCAGTCTGAAAAAGGTCTGCAGAGCGCTCGAAATACACAACTGCTTGGTCAAAGTTCTCTTGCTGCTCGTACAATTCGCCAATGTCCTAGATAAGCATTAAACTCAAGTCAGGTGCCGGTTTAAAGGTTCATAAACTTTCCATGAAAAGCTTACATGCAAATCATTCTCAAGAATTGCACAAGGACATTGACAAGCGGGATAAATAAATGACTTAACAAACCTTATGTTCAATATATATTATGCTTTTCTTTCAATGTTTAAGGTAATTTTAACTACTAGAAATTTGCCTTTCTTAATACTGCTTCTTGTATTGTTCATAATTTTATCTACTCGTTTCTTATGTAAGACTAGATGTAAGTAACTTCTAGAAATTTGTCTTTCTTAATAATGCTTCTAGCATTGTTCACAATTTTATCTACTCGTTTCTTATGTAAGACAAGATGTAAGGTCCAATGTTCCCCTCTGTACTTCAATATAAGTTTTCATGAAAGGAAATATGATAGTCTGCAGACGGTACCTTGCAATACCGTGCAGCCATGTTGAGTCTGCTGATTTCCAAAAATATAGTCACAGCCTGATCTAAACATGATATAGCCTCTGCAAAACCCCAATAAAACAATACATTCCATCAGCAACTTCTAAGCACGTATAAATAATATGTTTCAAGTCATTTCTCAATACTTTTGGTACAAAACTCATAGCTGCTATATACATCACAATCACATGAGTATAATACACACGTTTGGGGGACGTTTTCTTATAGCAATTTGCAGCATCCACGTAAGCACTCGCTGCTTCATGCTTGCTACCCAACTGCAAAAAATTTCAAGTTATTGATATCACATGCAAAACTCTGTTACAGCCATAAAAAGGCCAAATCACCAACCTTCAAATTACAGTTAGCCAATTTAATATAGACCATTGCAGCTCTATCCCCTGAGAAACACCAAAGTACTAAATTAGTATTCTAAGACTTGAAAAAGAATTTCAACACAACTGGTAAGTACTAAATTCCAATTGCTAATCAATAGTTCATGGATAGTACAGCATCAATGCACTTTCACCGTTTAAAAAGTGAAAAAAACCATTATAAAGATAAGTTCTTTGCTCAACGAGTCCATTTGTTCCCTCCCCTCCTGCCAATTTATTAGTCGCCTAAAACTCCATTCTGAGATGCCTCAGCAGCCAAGGAATAGCCTAAGCATTCTATATTACTAATCCAGATTTTCAAATACTCTTCAAAATCAAAGGCACTCAATAACACTGAAAAATAGTAGAAACATAAATTGCAATTTCCTTACTAACACTGTAAAAAGTCAATTATAAAAATGTCATGCATAAAGAAACATAAAAACGAAATTATGTATGGTAACAAAAAATAAAGTTTGTTCAAAATAAAATCCCAAAGGGGGTTAAAGATGAAAACATTGACCAAAGATATAACCAAAGAATAAGGGCCCAAAATCTCAAACGAGAAAGCTCATACCAGCAGTCGAATTCTAATAGCTAAAGTATGAGCTAGTCCCCTTAACAAAGTTAAGATTTTAGGATAACCCCGATGCTCAAAAAAGGATAAAAATCATCGAATAATAAATCGAAAGGCTCGCTGCTCACATGATTTGGCGAGTTTAAAGGAATTGGCAGCTTTTTGGTAGAGATCAGCAGCATCCTCGTGCTTAGAACTAAATAAACCCCAACCAGTAATCTTCTTCTCAGCTTTTCTCTCGAATTCCTCGCCTTTCACCATCTGATCTCCCATACTGTTTTTTGATCGGATTGTCGAATTACTGAATTGGAGTTTTCAGCATTTTGGTCTTCTTGCAGGTCAAGTGTTTGAAAAAATGTGAAGAAGAAAAGTAAAAACTGAAGGCGTGCGGAAGATAATCTTTTGAGTTTTAACTGACTTCGTTTGGTGGTGAAGGAATATTCGTTATCGTCTTACGTTCATCCAGTTTTATCCGATTCAACTTTCAAGGATTCTGATCATATACAGTCGCGATAGCTAAAAGATACGAGCTGATCCCTCTTGGGCTGTGATGTCAAATTCAGTTCATTGGGCTATGATGATAAATGGGCCTAACACGTCCAGTGGTTAGTTGCATCATCTCATAATTTTATGGGAAAATTACCTAAAAACCTATATTTAAAGACTAATTTTTCAAAAAAAAAAAAGTTTAAATTTCATTTCAAAAATTGGGTGATAATTAAATTTTAATAATTAGATTTAATAAAATCATAATCTAACCTCACCCCACGCTCACCCTCCCCCAACCCCACTCCCAATCTGTCAAGGTGTATTGAGTAAGCCAAGCTGTCAAGGTGTTCCACACCGGATTTTGAGCCTATCGTCAGAGTTGGAGCTGAAGAGAGGGAGCATTTATTTCTTAACACCAGCATCTTCTTTGCCTGCAGAGAAGAAAAAAACCCTCAACTAGCTCAAGAAGTCTCCCAAGAAATGCAGCTCTGGCGAACCAAATTTTGTTCCGGAAAGTCATTCGGAGAAAAAGTCGTCACGTCGGGAATGGAGGAAAGGGAGAGTCAGAGTATGGAGGCCTCATTTGCAGATCATTTCTGAGGATTAATATTTTAAATGTTCGGAACATTTTTCCCCCTCCTATGTGGGGTTTATTGGTTTAATTTAATTCTAAGGATATAATGAAATTTGCGGTTTTTCAATCTGTTATCTTTTTATTGTTAAAAAATATTGACGAATGAGTAACTTGTAACCAATAAATAATGTAACGTAAAAAAATACGATTTTGTGACTAAATTTGTAATTATGACCTATAATTTGTGTTTGTGAAACAAATAAATAAATTATGATCCATTAATTTGACAATTGTGATATATAAATAAGTTATAACAAATTAATTTGGTAAGTTGTGACTGTAAATAATTTGTGACATATAAAAACGTGTAATTTGAGATTAAAGTTATAATTATGACATACAAATTGTATCTTCGTGATTGTGACCTTGTATAATTTGTGACTAGTATGTGATTCGATTGTTGGTCATTACGTACATGTGGATGAAATTTTCACCTTTTTAATACTACGAATGATGGATGTTAGGTTAATGTGGATGACATCTATATATTATGATTGATATTTAATTTAGGTTAATTTTTTGTCAGGTATAATTTGTGATAACATATTAGAGTTAGACAACATGTCATATTCAATACATTACTGGTTACAATATGATGCTACCAAAAATCGTACCTGCAGATTTTTCGAGCTTGATGACTGATAAGGAGCACGAACGTGATCTTCCGATACCTGAAACAAAGGCAACGAGGTGTGTTCTCGTCGCCCCTCCGATACTTAAGTCAGAAAGGGGAAATATATGCGTGAGGCTATGTGTTGAAGAACAATGAGAAAACGTACCTAAATAATGGTTCAAGGTTCTGTATTTATAGTGGCAAGTGACCTTCTCCTAATTGGACTCAACTAGCTGGATGTCATCATCTGTTGGAGTCCTGAATGGTTAAGGAGTTGGTTGAATTCCAGAATTATACGTGAGATAGGATTCTTCTGGGAGTTAAGATTCCTAATTGCGTAGGAATTCTAAAGGGATAACAATCGTCAGTAGCGAGGGAGAGCACATTCTCGAGGACTATGCCCGAGGACATATGGTTGCAATATGTGAAGTAGCATGGAGTTGTGGTCGGGCACAGTGTCTCGAGGATGAACATGCTCGAGGACATCGCATATGAATTTACAACTTTATCAAAACTAGTTCTCGGGATAATTGATCGGGGATATTGGAAAAATGTCACCATCATAGGCCCCCGTGCATATATGCTCGAAAATATGCTCGAGGATATGATGCAAAGAGACTAGAAATAAAAGCTCGAGTTTTAGCTCGGGGATTTCTGAACACCTGTGCTTGATCAGAAGGCTGACGTGTACTGACGTCAGCCCTAGAAATGGAAAAGGCGGTAAAAACTGGTAAGGTTAGATGTGGGACACGTGTCCAGATCTAACGGTCGGGGTTGTGACTTTTGGGCTTCTTGCTCCTGTTACCTATAAATACCCTCCCCTCATTTTCATTTTTCACTTTTTACTCTCAGTAAACTTCTCTCGCTAATCGTCGGGATCGGACTTTGAGTTTTTAGACGTCGACTTTAAGGTAAGACCTCGAGTTTTTAAGTTATTCTTTAGGTATTTTTTACCTAGGTCAGGATGTCTAGTAGTAGCAGTAGCGACACTTCATCCTCATCATCCTCGAGGAGTACTCCCGAGGACATAGGTTGTTCAATTATACCTATGGCTGTCCTAATTAATGCCCAACCTCGGGCACAAAGTATCCCGACCCCTTTTAGGTATCCCGAGGTCCCCTGTAAATTTAAAGAACATCTAGCAATATCGACGGCTAGGGAGCATGGGCTCATGCCCAAATGCGACGTTAGGACACCAGGGGTAGAGGATAGGATGGCCTTTGCTCGGGATGGAGAGTTCGTGATTTTTAGGGACTCACTAAAGGGGGGATTTCGATGGCCTCTGCATCCCTTTTTTGTGGCCTTATTGGTCGAGCATAATATGAGCCCTGGACAGCTCGTGCCAAATGGGTGGAGGATGCTTACCTATTTCTTTATAGCCTGTAGATTCCTAGGAATTAACCCATACGTCGATCTCTGTAGGATGGTGTTCGACCTGAAACAGCTTCCTCAATATACTTGCTTTGCTTACCTTTCATCCCGAGGAGGATTTAGATTACCGAGGATGCCTAGCTCTTTAAAAGGTTGGAAAGAAAAGTGGTTTTATGTTATACCTCAGGATAGCGACCTCCCTTTTAGCCCTAGGTGGGTTTTGCCCGACACTCCTCGATTTTGTGAAGGCCAGGCCTATTTTGAATCTTTAGAGAGGCATAGGGTAATGTTAGAGAACCTTGAGCCTCTTGTATATGATATAGATGACATCCTCGGGGATGACGTTCTCGATCTCGCCGATGTGAAAGGCACTGAGGGTAGGGTCTTTTTGCCTTCCTCTTTACTGATCTGTCCTTGAACTTATAATTGTGCTCGTTCTAATGACTTGTTCTTTTTTACAGAGATGACTTTTGATCCTTCAGCCCT